ATTTTTTGATCATCATTTAACTCAAAATCAATTTATAGTCTCGGAACCCACTTTTAATAGCAAAGCTCCCATATTATGTATATATTATTTCATGATATAATATTAAAAATAAATATAAAATTATTTTTTTTGAAATATTAGTGGTGATAACTTTGATAGTAGTTATATTAGTGATGATCTCTTGTAATATAGTATTCTCTGATTCATGAATTTATAAAATACCTGAGTATTTTAGTCAACTATTTATGGTAATATTAATTTTAACTTTAATAAAAAATAATTTTATTAAAAAATTTAAAATTTTAATTTGAAATATATTCAAAAAATTACTTATTATGATGAATTTTATTAAATATTTTTTAAAATATTTAAAATATAACTTATTAATTTAATTAATAAATAAAATTGCTTTAAATTTGAAGATAATATTATTAAATGAATAATATATTTTAAATTAGTTATTAAATATAAATTTTAAAATTTTATAATAATTAATAAATTTTAAATAAAAAATTCTTATTATTTAAAAATTAAGTATATTTGAATATTTTATAATTTAATATATAAAAAAGAAATTTATGTAAGATATTTAAATCATAAATTAAATAATATCAATTAATAATTATTAATTAATTAAGATATTTGTTTATATAAAATTATATTATATTAATTAATTTCTCTTAAATAGTAATGATTATATTTAAATTTAATCATCAATTATTATTATTATTATAAATCAATTATTTTTAAAAAAATTTTATTTTTAATAATTAAAATATTAAACATATATAAAATTTTTAAATTAATGCAAATAATTATAATTTTTTTTAAAATAAATTTATTATAAAATATTTTAAGTTTGGAAGCAAAACCATTGAAAGGATAATATTATTATTGCATTATTATCATTAAGATAATTTAATAATATTTATATCTTAGTATAAGTATAATTAATAACTTTTGAATTTATTATAATCAGATAATAATATCATTACTATTATTATTTATCATATACAATTTCTATAAATTATTTAAAAATTTATAGAATTATATGATTTAGACACATTATTTATAGTATTCATTTTTGATATCAAACTTTATACCCTAAAGTTATTTATTATAGAATCGTATAAATTAATATTGAGAAAAACTATGATGATCATAAATTAATCTTAAAAACTAAAAAACTTTAAGCAAGTTATAGCTAGAAGATCCATATATGAAGATTTCCCGATAAAATTCAATATGTTTAATTTAGAATAAAAGGAATTGAACTTTTAATTCGTAAAAGAACAAAAAAAAAAATAATAATTTAACTTACATGAACGGTTTTTCTAAGGATAAGCAGTCAAGCTTTTACACAACTTTTCTATTCTTGCACGCCCACGTTCTGTAAGGTGACCTTCTTCCATCATCAGACAATAAACCTTGCGCCATTTTAGATAATTGATATGTTCGGTTGAATTCAAGTGAAAGTGGTCAAAATAATTAATAATTTTATACGCGGGTCCAAAATCTACAGAATTGTAATAACAAGGATTCCCGTAACGGATATATCCTCCAAAGGCATCTTTGAAAGAGGTTAAACCATAACCATCCTCTTGCTCAACTTGAAATTCGAGTTTAATGTCATTTCCTGATCTAATTTTGTTCATTATTTTTATTTTAAAAAAACCGTTTGCATCACTAAATCCCGCCATCCAGAAATTTTGATCTTGTAAATTAGCATCTCTAGTCAAGGCTGGTATAGGATTCTCGCTTTCTTTATTAATACGAGGAAGTATAATTTCATTAAAAATTTCCACCTTATCTGTTCGACATTTGCCATTTATTAAAGTAGCTATTCTACTCATAGCATCCAATCTTGACACAAAATATATAGTACTTTTTTCGTTAATGTCAATTTCGTTTTTGCGAATCCTGCCAAAACCAATCTTTCCTTTTATAAAATAAGCTAAAGATGAATCAAACTCATGGAACAACATTTGAAACTCGCCATTTGATGTGAATGTGCCTTTACCGTCAATTAGACCTGCTAAATAATACCCAAATTCTGCATCAGTAAGAGGTTTTCTATGTCTGGGTACATGAACTGAAATTATCTTTAATTGTCGGTTTTGGTCCGCTTCTTGATTATTAATCTTCTCTATTGATTCTGTTTTAGTCAAATTATTTTGTTCTCCTTTATTATGAATTGATTCGGTTCTCGTAAATTTTTTTTGGTCTGCTTGATTATGAAATTTCCCAAATGATTCGGTTTTATTCAATTTACTTCGGTCTTGTTCCGCTCTTTGATTATAAATTTCTCTTGTGGGTTTGGTTTGAGTCAATTTCCTTTGATTTTTGTTCGTTCCTTGATTATTAATTTTTCCTATATATTTGTATTTCTCTTCACCAAAATTCTTTGATCTTGAAGTTTCACTATGTCTATAACTTAGATTTCTTGCTGGTAATCTACAAAAATTTGTCACGACGAACTCCAAAGTTCGGTGCAATTTAAATGAATTAAACGAATTGAAAGAATTTATAGAGCGAGAATAATTCATTTTTTATAATTTGAAGCCACAGCATTTTCTTCACATGAATTTAAGTTGTGACCCATATGGAAATGATCTACATTAAAGCGGAAAGATCCAATCAGCATCGACTCAATTTTGAGCGGACGTCTCGTGTAACTTCATCTTAAATTGAAATGTTAATTAGAAGTTGGTAAATTAATTAATCGATTTGAATTTTATTAGTAAATTTAATCGTCTATGTAAAAATGATACCCAAAAATACGGATACATTATTCTCTTTTAAGCATTTAAAATAAAGTTATCGCTTCAAAGTTCGAACGATTTTCTTTATTAATTTACTTTTAAATTTTGTTTTGTGTTCGTTGTTTTCGATGTGTTCTATTTGCAATATATTATTAATATTAGAATTTTTCTCTTAAAAGATATTTGAAGAAAATTTTATATAACGACATTTTTCTTCGATAGTAAAAGAATTAAAGAAATGAAATGTATTTAACTTAATTTCAAATGTTATCTAACAAATTTATTGAACGAGAAGTTCAGCACTGAATGATGTCTATAGTGCTTGTGTGCATTATAAAATAAGCTGCAAAAAACAATCACATCTGCTGATTATGCTACGATTTATTATTTATTGCAATTGTAAATTTAAAAAGTTAGATAATGTTGGAATGAGGAATTAGATGATCTTTCAGATATGAACATTTTGCTGAATAATTGTGATGATATTAAACAAATGAATTAATAGAATCTTTAATAACTTCACCAAAGCAATGGTAATTACAGTATAGAATTTTATTTTAAAAATATTTTAAATAATAATAGTAAGAAGATTTATAAATGTGATTTGGTGCTGCGCATCGAGTCGCAATTATTGATATACTTTTAGTGGGAGGGAATAGCTAATAATTCTCTTAAAATGGATGCACCAGAAAAAAAGATTGTTACAACTACTAATTTCATATACTTAACGGTTTTATATACAGTAAGACCGAACTTAGAAAGTTTAGCTAATATTAATCTAAAAGGGTTCATTCAGAGGAATTGAATGATGGATATTCAATGATATTTAAATATCTTAGGGTTGAATTTTTCAGGTAATATGGGATGTAAAGCGGATCATATTCGCTTACGTCTGATGGAATTCCGTCTCTCCACTGCGAAGCAAGTGGAGGTTCGATGCTAAAAGACTTAATCTTCCCTGGTTCTATAAGTTGTACTAATTCCACATCTATTGGAAATACAATATGTGCAAGTTCATGTAAAAGCAGCCAAGCACCAATGAATGAAACAGCGTATGCATGTGTGCAAGACGGTCGTGTCGAAATGTATAGATTTGGATGATTATACGGTTCTCGTAAATTTTCTATACTACAATGACCAACATAGAGCATCTCCCAGTATCTAGGAAGAAATTGCGTTATATCTCGTAGTTGTTCTGCGATATCCATCTCCATGTCTACATCGTCCTCGAATATAATTGCATTCTGGAACCGGTTATCAACAATCGTCTGATATACCTTTAAATGACTTAACCAACAGGCAATTGCAGCTTTGTGCAAAGTTCCATTGTTTTGTTGATAGTATGTTTCTACTTCGCTCGAGTTGGCATCAATAGCGGGAAAAAAACTATAATCAAGGTTATGTTGTTTAAACAATTTTGTCATTCGTTCCTTTCTATCAACTCGGTATTCGAGATGTATCACATATATTTTGTCAAAGAACAAAGTCTTATTCAGTTTTTCATCAATTTTTTGGCAAGATTGGGGTTTAATCTCTATGTTATGGTTTCCTTGTAAGGGATAAAGACTAATGTAAAATAAGATACTTATAGAAACTGTAAAAACCAACGCAAACAAAAATACTTTGGCTGTAAATATCGCCATCTTTGGATAAATTTAATACAAATTGGCATAATTTATATCTGTTCAGATATTGGGGGTGTATTACATAAAATTTCCTTTTATTTTTCTGAAAATCAATCATAAAGGTAACACAAAAGAACACTTAATTGGGCGCATATATATAATATAATATACATCGTGCATTGTGTAACAAAGAAACAGTTATCATTCGATTTAAAGTTAATATAAAAAAATGATGATTAAATTATAATTAATTGAAAATGCATAGAAAAGGGCTTAGAAAAGGGCTTAGTATTCAACTAAAGCATCCTTAGCAATAATCGGCAATTATAAGCAACGATACACTGCATATGCTTAATCGGAATTTATATCGGTTTTCGGTCAGATTACTGTAATAAAAGAAAAAGAAAAATTAATTGAAATAAAATAATCTCTCTTAATTGTTATAAATCTTTATCAAAAAAAACTAAATATATAATAATAAAATTAATTTAAGATAGTAATAATATTAAATTAATTATAATATTAAAATTAAAAAATATTAATAATTAAAATATTTAATTTTATATAAATATAATAATATATTAATTAAATAAAATCTTATTCATTAAAATTATAAGAATTTATTTAAACTTAAATATAATTTTCAATCAAATAAGATTTAAAATTTTTATGTAATAAATTATAAAAAAATTTTATAATTATACTCAGAATACCAATTTAATGAAAAAGTAGATGCATTGGCTAAAAATGCATTAGATTCTTCAGTCTTACAATATTATTAATAATTATATTAATTTTAATTTTAATTTTATAATATATGGGAGATAGTTAGTAGAAAAGGGGAAAATCCAAAATTTTTGTTAATTTTTATTATTAAGCTAAATTTGCATATAACTAAGATCAGCCAAATGGTTTAATACAAATTTTGACTAAAATTTGGATTTCCTTCTTTTTTATTAATCACTTCCCTCCCATATTTTAAATATAAGCGTTTTGCAGTAAAAAGATATGAAACTTTAAAAAATTAAATTTTACTTTATAAGCTTAAATATAATTTTTTTAGTAAGATTTAATATTAATTTAAAAAAAATTTTTTTTTAGTGTTTTATACTAAAAGCTTTATATAATTCCTTATATAATTACACTTTATATAATTATTTCAATTTATAAGCATATTTATGTTAGACTGAAATATAATAAACTTATTAATATACAATCCTTGGTGAAAAAAATGGCAGAAATGAATTTTTATGATATGTACTAACTTTATTTTTATTATAATTTTTTTTTTATTTATTTACAAGACAATCACTAATAGCTACTTTATTATTATTTAATTAATATTTGGTGTGTCTTCCTTCTGCATCGATACATGTTTAACCCAGTTTGGCATGCTTTCAATGTATCAAAGTAACATAGTATCATTAAGATTGTCTCATTACTGCTCGATTGTATTAAGAAATACATTACAGATAATATATTTTTTTGCCACTAAATATTTGATCTTTTTCTCCACTTTTCTTTTTAATACAACCTATACATTTTCGATAGGATTCAAGTCTGGGCTGTAAAAAGATTAAGAAAGAATTCATTCTAGAAGATATTTTTTCAAATCATGCTAAACATCTTGTGAGGTATGTTTTAGATCATTATCTTATTGGAAGATCTAGCTTTGATCACATATCATACTTGCATTATCATATAGATAGTCATCTAAGAATTTTCGATACAAATAATGATCCAAATTTTCAGTAAATAAATGAATGTCAATTTTTCTTTTAGCACAAATCGCTGCCTAAACATGAATCTTAAATAGATGCTTTACCATGAGGCAATTAGTTACATATTAAGAGATCATATATTCATAGTATTTTTAAATATCTGGAATGTTATTTCATCAGAAAACCAACTTTTTTTCAGTTGTAATACAGGTAGATGGTCACATACCCAAGACAAGCAAATATCCTTCACTTTCTGGATCAAAAGAGAAACTTTCCTTGGAAGAATATAAATATATCTAAGGTTTTAAAGCTCACGAAGTATTATACGTTTACTGATCTCAAGGTCAGAATTATTTTCTTCTAATTTGGTCTTCATTTCACTTACTATAGTGAAATGATTGTGCTTTAAAATTTTTCTGATATAGTGGCGTTAGTTCACAACCAATTTTCTTGGACGGCCTAGAGAGTGATCAATGAAAAGATTGTTAATTTTGCATAACAAACTGATATAACATTTACATGTGCACAAGAAATACACAAGTAATTAGAAATTTCCTTTGCATTATGCATATTTTGATTCCAGAGTGACTTAACAGAGTTTTATTGTATTTTAAGAAAACTCAGTATTTTTTCAAGGATAAAAAATAACAATAATAATAACAAACTTTGTTTATTAGATTTACCTTTTAAATCAACTATCTTTGGACAGTCAAAGTAACTCTGAAATACATATATCAAACTAATGTTATAATGTCACATCTCAACAAAATAAAGAATGATTTTCTCCTAAACTTTTTTATATCAGCACATACTATATCATCCAGTGTTGGGATTATACATAAAGTCAAAATGAAAAGTCAAAATAGTCGAAATGATGTCATATCATATGATTTTATATATAATGTAAACAGATTTACAAAGTGATCTGCAAAATCGATCTATAAAGGAATTTGCAGAATTGATCAACAGAATGATTTGCAAGATTGATCTACAAATTGATCTACATGTATTACGTGATATTCTTGACATTGTTGATATAGTTGACATTAATGACATTTTTAACATTGTTGACATTTTTGACATTAATAACATTATCAACATTGTTAACATAATTAGTAATTAGTATAATAGATATAACTTATTTATTTATATATTTTATTTATAGTTATATGTAATTGAAAAGATATAAATACAGTAGATTTTAGAACTTGTAGAAAGGTAGAATTCAACTCAGCTGTGTGCAATAATTCTCTTAGAAACATTTGAATAGCTGTGTACTCTTTTATCTTTATGAAAACCTCTTTTCTTTTTTTTATTTTATTTTCTTTATATTTCTTTATTTTTTACATTTCTTTTTATTAATAAACCATATTATTATTTATCTTATACATCTTCATGATATTTTATATCATTGTCTGAGTGATATTATATATCTGTATAATCTTATAAATCTGAGTGATCGTTCAAATCTTTGTGAATTAAAGTGACAGTTAAGCCTTTGTGATAATTACAGCCGTTGTGAATCTTTATAAATATAAAAGACTTAGTGAATTACAGTTTAAATATATTCAAGTGATACCAGTTATAAGTCCAGAACTTCAGGAAAAATCAGTAGTTACTATGTATATTAAAAATAAATAATACTCAAACATCTCATTTAACTGTATTGATCCACCAAAATTACACGTTAACCATAGAAAAAATAATAAAAACAAAAGATGTACGATCTCAGTCAATATCACTCCGATTTGTATGAAAATAACTACCATTCAATTTCTCGTGACTAGACGAATCCAATAAGCTAATATTCATTAATTTTGGATCAGCCTATTTCAAGATATTTGCGATTGAATTTTGAAATCCAGACTTTTTTAGTAGAATTTATTGATTTATAATTTTGGCTAATAATACAATTGCAATTATCTCGAAATTGGATGATCCAAAATCAATGAATATTAGCTCGAAGAATTGAATAGTAGTTTTTTCATATGAATCAGAGCGATATTGATCCAAATCATACATTTTTTTTATAAATATAAAAAATCATATGATATGATGTCATTTCGACTATTTTGACTTTTCACCTTAAATAGTCAAAATGATTTCAATCGAAAAAAAAACTCTTTCTCTATTTCCCAAAAAATATTTTTAAAAAATATTTTTTAGAAAATAAAATTGTTTCGCCCTTACTATTTTTAATACAAAAATTCAGTTTAGATAGTTTATTACTTCTCTCGTCAACTATAATAACTTTATTTACAAGAAAGTTTAAAAGTTTTACAACCATTTTTACAAATACAATATGACTAAAAATTCTGGAAAAAAGCTATTGCCAAAAATGTTTCTGCTAAACCCGACAAAAATGCAAAGTAACAAGAGAATATCGCCTCTAGCTCTGCTAAACACTCTTACCAAGACTTGTCCTCTGATGAAAATATTGCATCTGAAACCTACGGCTCTCAACAAACTTTGCCTCCAATCTTATTGATTCTGATGAATTTGTTCCTGTTAATGAAGACAACATAAATTCCTCATATGATACCCTTCGCTTGTGCTATTACTATCAACAAAACTGCAAAAGAACTCCCTACCAATACTATTATTAAAACAATTAATGAAAAATTTGCTTGTGATAACGCATTCAAAGGGGTCAATGTTAGATGTGTCAATTTACTTATTTCGCAATTCTGTACTTTGACAATAAAGAAGCAATATACACCGCTATTAACCTAAAATTTCCTGATTTGGGAATTGAACAGTTTACTGAATATGCTGCATACAAAGAAAATATGCAATTCTAGCAACACACTTTACATATAACTGACATTTGCTTAAAAATGCAACAGGACATCCTTAAATCCTTCTTCTCTAAATATGACAATATTATCAATGTTAGAATGCAAACACGGGTTTGTGATAGCATGCTTACATCACTTATTAAAAGTCACAAAATATTGCATTGTTCTATAAACAATAGTCTAGATATTTATATAATGATTGTGTTAGAGTCTACCCTATCAGTTTCACCCCTGAACAGGTAAAACTTAGAAATGATTTTTGTATCAAACTGACCAATCTACGCTTAGGTATTTCCTCACGTTACCTTCATGATATCACCCTTGCTACTAAAGCAAAGTCATGTTACATCCCTAGATCTAACAATTATAAGCTTCGCCCTTTCGCTATATTCTATTTTCAATCTGAAGAAGAGCTAAATGATGCAATCAAAACTCCCTATGCTTTTGACAATCACGAACTTCAATAGTGCTCTGCTGAAGCTAAATGCTATCACAAATG